CCTTTATATTAGGGAGACAATGTATAAGTCATTTTTGCTTATAAGATGCACTATGAGCTAACACACAGCCACTCTGAATTAAAAAGAACCAACTTGACTGAACCATGCCACTTGGTTTGAAAGTGGTTTTATATTAAATCAGAAGATTTAGTCGCCACAATGAACAGCAAGCAAAAATGCTTTCAACACCTGAGAGCTTTAATTTTGCACAAAATATTTCAGAACGACTGACATCGATCACGATTAACTGCATTCTCTTATCAGGAAATCCAATCTCTAAAGTAATGCCAATCAGAAGTATGAAGTTAATTCTTTGGTGACGTGCATAGCACAGGAAAATGAACAATTCATTTGAAAAAAAGAAAATGCAGACTGAGCAGGACGTTTGATATTTGCAAAATATTTGCTCCACATTAACAGAAGCTGTAGAAATATTAAAGTGTGTTTTACGAACACTGCAGATCTCAAGACAGATAACATGATCGGAGCGTGGAATCCCGGAGAGCACATGCACGATACAAACCACAGTCCTTACCTGAATGGAATGAAGCCTTACAAGAATACATATTTATGTTCAAATAAAAAGATGGAACGCTCATACTAGATACCAAGCATGCCTATAACTAATTGGATTTTTGCCTAACTTGTCTCATCCTAGCCAGGAACTGTCCTCTTAAAAAGAATATTTTTTTTCAGAGACATACTTTATCTCCTCAGACTTCTCATTTTGTTAACTTCTGTTAAGTACTAAAAAGGAATTGTATTGACGATGGAGGCTAAGAAACGGGATAAATACATACAGTGGACTGCATTATCATGTAGACATTTTTTCCTAGATTTATGTCTACTCTATTAAGCATTACATGTCTGAGTGTTGGGATGGGAAAAAAAAGGCTGGGGGGACAGCAAACTTCATGGGTGCAAGTTAACTTATCATTACACCTTCACTTCCCACTACCAAAAGCAAGCAATATACAGAAGCTATCTTAGGAGATACATGGGCTTTGGAGAACATATTTTATACCAAAGAAGAATAGTGACAAGTGCTGAATATTCCATGCTAACTCTATAGAGCAACAGGTTCTAAATATAGCATACTGCACATCCTAAGCAGTTGCAGATTTTTTTAATGTCTCTCTGCATTACTTGTCATTTTAAGAGACAAAAGACAAGTCATTTTGTCTGGGATGGGCGCTCTGAAAATCATATATGAATCTGTTGCATAATCCAAGCTTATCTGAATGTGTTGCTTCATTCAGTATGCTGTTTATCAATTTTACTTACAATACCATACTTGATTGTGCATCAACGATGCATCCTGACTCCTGACGTTTAGCATCCTCCAACTAGGTGATCTTTAAGGTCCCTTCTAACCCCAACCATTCTATGACTTGTAGAAGGAACTCAGGCTTCTAACTGTGGGTGCTCCGAGTCACAACACCCCACTCCCGAAGTTCAGTAAAATTTTGTGCCATGAAGCACATGAAAGGCATGATTCATCTGCAGAGATTAACATATTGAGTTTCTTTAAATTGATGTAAATGCTGTCAGCTTAGAACTTTGATTTTTTTTATTTTTGATTCTTTTAAAGTCTGCATCATTAAAAACATCACTGGAACCTGCATTACATTCCTAAAACCAATTACTCATATTAAAGTGATATTAAAACGAGGGTATTGCCTCTGAACACCAGCAACGACAAAGAATAAGGAGATGATGTTTCTCATACATAGCTAAGGCACAAATTAAACAGGACACACAAAAATCTGCACCATCACTGCCATGCCAAACTCCCCCATCTGCCAATAACAGATTTTTACCATCAGCACGGGGTGCCACAACTAATACGGTTAGTTCAAGTGAGATTAAAACACCGGATAAATTACCATTTAAAGACTTTAAGTGATACTAAAAAAATACCTTCACTCCCTGCTTCATCAAGTGCATGATCGTTTAACATGCAAATGTTACTGGAATATTTCACCTGAACTTACCTCATCTGAAAAGCTGACAGCAGTAACTGCTTTTGCCAACCTATTTCACCACTGAACGGAATGCCTGACAGTCTGATTCCCCCTCATTTATCCCTGACTTTAAAACCCCTAAGGAGAAGCCAGCGGAGCAGCCTGTAATGAACTATTCAAATTACTTAGGAGTTAATTGTCTCCAAGTTGAGTTATTAGTAGTCTAATGATACAGGTGTGTTTTAAACAGAATACCACTTCAGCTGCCCCGTGGCTCTCCCTCAGTTCGGGTACCAGAAGTTTTCCTTGCTCTGTTGCTTCAGGCACAGCACTTGGACCAAGGAAGCTCTCATCTTCTCACCCTCCTCTCCCTCAGCCTCCAGATCCAGGAAAAGCCTGACTACCTCTGTCATGCACGTGTCACAGATACTAATGCAGAGATGTCAATTAAATTCAAGGGAAAAAAAAAACACAAACAATTGCTTTGAGTGAAATAACTGGAATTCCAGAACACGTGGAAGCAAGGAGGGGAAGTGCTTATTGTTTCTCCAGCTCTGGAGAGCAGCAAAACCTTGAAACAGGTGAGTAATCCATCTTATGGCACAGCAAAGCTAAACAAGCAGGCACTTGAACTGCAGCGTGCAGCAGCCAGGGGACTGCTTTCTCTTCTCCCCACACACACTATGAAACAGAAGAGCTCCTGACACACATCAAAAGCCAGATCCATACAGAGACAAATCGAGCTTCCCACACACAAAGGCTATGTCATTTCCTTAGCTCAAGCTATCTGATGTCCATTCCAGGGGGAACGCTGCTTTGGCAAATACGAGCCAAGGACAATGTGTCCCAGAGGCTTGTTCCAATAAGAATTAAACAGGAACATATTCCCTGAAGACAGTATGAATCTGAAAATGGCACTAACTTAAACAGATCCTTTAAACTGCCATCCCTGAATCTAGATATAATTGCAATCTCTCTCTCAAGTCTAAAGGTTCACAAACTGTGAAAACCAGGCACAGAAACGTTCATGACATTAAAAGAACAAGACAAATCTAGAAGATGTGATGTTTTTAAAATTAGTACACTTAAGTTGAAAATGAGAAAAAGCAAAGTTAGGCATCCAAGAAAACTTTTGCTACCAGTGAGGTTTCTGCTGGAGAAAGACTGGACTTTTATATTTTTATTACCACATTTTCAAGACATCAGAACACACATGAAGTAAGACCTGTCCCCCCAGCAGAATGTAAATTCAGCAACTAAGCCTTCCACACTGTAATCCCTATTTAGCTATAGCCAGTTTATAATACTCAGGATGCTTCAAATATATCAGAACCGCATTGCAAGAAAAGAAGCATATCACCAAACTGAGAAGCAGGGTGAAGCCCAACATACAATACTGCCCCAAAATTAGTTTGCACATCACCACACACTCAGAAATTCAAGTCCAAAGTCCTCCTTACAGGTGGAGAATGTTAACTCTGGATTTGTCACAGCAGGTTATTTAAACATGTAAGTTTTTCTCTGCTATAGAAGGTTTCCACAGTCTGAGAAGGGGAGGAAGCAGGATAAAATTAACATTATAATGTGCACAAGAGTTAAAACCCATATTCTTCAGGAGAAAAGGGAGGAAACCAGATTTGTTTTACAGAAGATACACTGCAGAGAGAGGAGACAGGAGTTTTTTTAATCAGCCTTGCTAGTCTGTCTTTTACAGCAAGTGACTTAAAGAACCTGTAAGCATGATAAACCTTGTTCCCCTACTACTTTCACACTGTTCGCATCAGTACTACTCAGCATTTCAAAAAGATGACAATCTGTCAGAAGCAAAAAAAAACAAAACAAAACAAAAACCCACTGACAAAAGTCACAATCTGTCAGAAGCAAAAAAAACCAAAACAAAACAAAAACCCACTGACAAAAGTTACAGGCACTTCCAAGCACCAAGCTTTTCAGAAATAGAAGGCTGTTTTAAGTTCATAATAAAAGTAGTTGTTTGTACCTCAACATCTACGTTCCAAATTACTCAGATGTAGTACTGTATTTTATCTTTCTCTAATGCCAAATTGGAAACACAAGCTTTAGTGAAATCATCATTAATAATCAGACTAAGAATTCCTAATTAGTATTTTTAGCTCTCCGTGCTTAGCATACCTAATTTGTTCGGCAAATTATACAAACTTGTGTTCACATAACAAGTTTTTTACAACTTCAGCCCTTCAATGCTTCCCTATAAAGACTCTGTCAGAAAGGCAGCATCATCCACCAGCCAGTTCTGTGGCAGAACACACCAGGACTTCAGGGGTTTTGGAACTTTATTAGAGAAATAATTAGAGAGCTGGTCAACAAAAAATGAAAGAAAAAACCTAATTTCAAATGCTATTCTCAGCAATTGATGAAAGAAACACCAGTGAGCAATTTTCAACTTCATCTAACCTGCCAGCCCATAAGCTTCTGCTACTCCAGGAGCAAGAAAAGAAGCTCAAGAAAAATTATACTTGGAACACTTGAAACAGCAACAGAAAAATAACAGCATAGAGTGGGGGAAAGGTCTAAAAGAACAGTGCAAAAGAATGGTCAGGCACACCCTTTGCAAGGCAACTGCCAATTAAATATGTGAAACATCAACTCTTACAGCTCCATCCAGCTACCGATTCCTTCAGCTGAGATTAAGTAAGCTTGCTAAAATACCTACACACATCCTTAGCATTTTGAAGACTGCAGTTTTGCAAGCCCAAATTACAGCTTGTATTAAATACTAAGCAGTCCAAGTAAGTTAAAAATATATTGTTGGAGTGAATTGCTCATGTGACATTCAATCATGTAAGGTCAAGCTGCTCGGTTCAACTGCAACAAGAACATACAGAAAATCCAGCTAAGATCTTACACATCAGCATCATACTGCTCCATCATTTACCAACTGCAGTCTTGCCACATTAAAATATTAATCCCCCCTTAAAGAAATCTACTGCCTTGAATCCTCCCTCCACACCCCAATATTTTTTACTGTTAGTAGTATGTTAAATAATCTTCACATACCAGTTATGAACCATCAGCTTCTGCACAGCCAGTAGTGCATTATAACGAACTTGCTGGTCTTCATGATGCATGTGGTTCATTACCAGCTGTTTACCACCAAGTTGTTCAATCACTCTGAAAGAGAGGAGGGGAGGAGGGGTTTTTTTTGACATTGCTTCAGCTTCTGGGTAGTTATCCTAGCCAACCACTTCACATTCAAGACCATTAGAAGGCTAAGTCAAAGAATATTTATTTGATTGAAAGTCCTTATTTCCTAGCATGTACAGCTTATTTGACATGTTGCAAATGCAAATCTTTCATTCTACCTACTGAATTTATTATTTTTTTTAAATTCACAACATCAGAAAGTGTTTGTACTGGATTCCGCTGTTTGGTACTCACTACCTACTTCCATAAATTTTTAATTAAACAACCATCAAGGAAGGAGTCCTTTTCAGAGAGGGTTATTTGTTTTACGCAGCTCGCTAAAGAACTCAGTATTGGCTTGAGAGGATTAGTAGGGTACAGCACGATCAATTATTACTTAGGAGGTAGTGTCCTCCCCTCCATAAATTGATGATAACCAGGTCACTCCATTTTTTTGCAAGATTAAAGCCCCAATCCAGTCCAGAACAGCAAAAAAATGCTATTAAACCAGCCACTTTGTACTCTTCATTGTGTGTTTTGCTATTCAAACTGTTGTAAAGCCACAGCTATTCTTGCACGGGATGCAGAACTGGCTGCTCAGTTACCATTTACAGAAAAACAGTATGGTTGAGCTGCATCTTTCACTACAAACTTCACCATAGTAGTCAGCCATAGCTTTTAATAGCTATACCAAATCCCACACAAATCTGATGAGATCTTGTATCACGTCATGAATATATAATTTCTTTAAAAAACAAAACAAAAAACTCGAAGGCAACACACTTAAAACAGTATCACCATTCAGATGTGCCTCTACGTGGAGCATTTTGGTCTGTAGGAACAAAGGAAGTTTGGAGAAAAATTGCAAGGAATATATAGATTGATTACTCACTGACTTGCATATGTTTTAGTTTTATTTTTATATCTGTTCTCTCACAGCTCACTGAGTAGTTAAACATAATATTACTTGAAGAGGCCATCGTTTGCATTACTCTTAACCTGCTGCTGTCCCCCCATTAGCTGTCTGACTTTATCACTGTTCTTTTCCTTGCCCCATTAATGCACTGCTGATGCACAACACAACACACTTATGGAAGCTGCAGAACAGTATAAAGACAGAGTGGAGATGAAAAAGAGTATTTCATATTTCATTTTATGACTCAGTCAAAACCATCCTGGAGACCATATGGAATATTATTTCCCCAATAGTATTAAACACATAAGGATGTTACACACAACAGGAATGAGTTCAGAAAAGTGAAATTGTTTGAAGCTGGAAAATCCTTACCAAGAATTCAAGAAGTTATTACTAACGTAACTGATTAAAAAAACCCAACAAACCTTTATCTTTGCCTTAGGTTGCCTCACATTTTTAATCATGAATTAAATATAAAACCACTGCACACAAAGACTATGAAAAACAAACAAGATTTTTTTCCTCATTAGAGGACTACTTAAACACTGAATTTCCAGGAAATGAAAGGAAGTAAAAAAGGCATCATGCTCCTTATGCTAGAAGCACACAAAAAAACAAAATGAGAAGTTAAAATCTAATCACAAATGGAAATACTCTATTTCAGATGACAGTACAGCACTGAAATTATGGCTCAGAATATGAAGAGTCACAGAACTGCGTTAGGGTCCTTGTACAATTCTGTGTACTGGCACAAATCATTTTCCAGTCAACTCTTTTAGACCAAATGGTAAGCAACTGTGAGGAAGGATCACAGTGAATCCCACTCCTTCAAATTCCAAACCTGCTCAAAACACTACTTTTCGTTTTGTTTTCCCTCTCCTCAACTTCTGCTAACTTCACAGCTGTAATAGAGCCCACTGGGCCAGTTATGGTGCATTAACATCTTCTGCATGGTCTGTTCCCTGTAACAACAGTGCACTAACCCAAAACAGTGGCAATTCAAACAAGTCTCTGGATGCTGAAGAGCAAGATTTTAACGACCCATTTAAAAGAGACAAAGAAGAAACAGAAAATGAAGACAAATGAGAACAGTTTAGACCGTTCTAGCACAAAATATTCATACAAAATCCACACTACATATCTAAAAGCAGACCAAGGTGAAAAAGTGAATGCAATTAAGCTGTTTCTGAATCACGAACTAAAGAAAGAAATGGCTCTAGGTGTCAACCTCTTGTATGTGAAAATGTAAAACTCATGTTCACGCCATTCAGGTGCCTGAAAAGCATTGACCTTGCACAGCAGTAACCCTTGGGCCAAGTGGAAGTTTTACTGGAGGCTGATGTTTAGCCAGCGTTTGCTTTCCGTGACAGGAAACATCAATGTTGTACTTTATTTATGCTGTTACATCGTCAGAAAATGCACATTAGTGAGCCTCATTAGATGCCCTTGGTGCTACTGCCTTGAGAACTTGGTCCACAATATGCCATTTTAAAGGCAAGTTAAAATAATTTAAGATGACATTAGAGAACAGCCAAGCAAAAACGTAGTGTTTAGTTTAACAAACTAGTCTAGCAGGAGGTGTCCCTGACCAGGGCAGGGTGGAACTATATGATCTTTAAGGACCCTTCCAACCAAAAACACTCTGATTCTATGAAACACCTTCTGTTTTGTACAAAGGGAAAGGTTAGACAGAACTAGGCCACTGCTGTGCACAGCAGGTAAACTCAAGAAGTTTTAGGTTCTAATTCACCTCTACAAACTTCAAAGGCTGAAGGACAATCTGGTTAAGAGTAGAGGGTAAATACTTTTGTTTCCTTTGTGTTTAAGATATTTGAATTCTCCTATTCTTCTAAACCAACAAATAACATCCATTCTCAAAGTGAGTCATGCAATGAGAGCGTGAAATGACAACCAGGCGTGGGAGCAGTAAATGACTATATATCAAAAACCATCATGGTAAGAAATGGACTATTACATGGAAACTGACACACAGTCCTCAGGTACTTTACGGTTCAATCCTAAAATTGCTGAAGTAATACTTAGTAAGAATACACTGGATTACAAAGGAAATTCGCCTCAGGTATTTTATGGTTCAATCTAAAATTGCATAAGTAATACTTAGTAAGAATACACTGGATTACAAAGGAAATTCTTTGAAACAGAAATTAAAAGAGATTGAGGCATTTTGGTTTGTCCATTAGAACTGAAAGCTAAATAAGTCAAGTCTGTAAGCTGAAAGCAGCTAAAATATTAGAATTTGATATAAGAATGTGGGTTAGAATAGTATCTAGGACCACCAATGCTGATGAAGGCTGACACACTTCTGAATCGGTTTAACAGCCTGGGAGCTGAGCAGAGCTGTGGTCCCTCCAGCAGTACGTTTTCCCAACTGCAGACTAAGAGATACAGGTCCTGTTCATCACCTCATCCAACTTCATAGCTTTGCTCCAGCCACTGCACGGCCATACTAGCCCAAGTATTATGCCACATTTGAGTAGATGTGTGCAAGATGTTTAAAAATCATGGCAAATTGGCAGATCAAAGCAGGAGCAACCGGTATCAGTCCTTCAGCTGTGCCTCTTACAGGCAGCAGTATGAGTTTCCACCTTACTGAAGGCTATCTTGCCTCTCCTCCAAATACCAGTTGTTATAAATCTCTACTGGAAGACACTACTTTACGGTTCAATCCTAAAATTGCTGAAGTAATACTTAGTAAGAATACACTGGATTACAAAGGAAATTCTTTAAAACAGAAATTAATAGAGATTGAGGCATTTTGGTTTGTCCATCAGAACTGAAAGCTAAATAAGTCAAGTCTGTAAGCTGAAAGCAGCTAAAATATTAGAATTTGATATAAGAACGTGGGTTGGAATAGTATCTAGGACCACCGATGCTGATGACCACTCCTTTTGAAGGCTGACACACTTATGAATCGGTTTAACAGGCTGGGAGCTGAGCAGAGCTGTGGTCCCTCCAGCAGTACGTTTTCCCAACTGCAGACTAAGAGATACAGGTCCTGTTCATCACCTCATCCAACTTCATAGCTTTGGTCCAGCCACTGCACGGCCATACTAGCCCAAGTATTATGCCACGTTTGAGTAGATGTGTGCAAGATGTTTAAAAATCATGGCAAATTGGCAGATCAAAGCAGGAGCAACCGGTATCAGTCCTTCAGCTGTGCCTCTTACAGGCAGCAGTATGAGTTTCCACCTTACTGAAGGCTATCTTGCCTCTCCTCCAAATACCAGTTGTTATAAATCTCTACTGGAAGACACAGGAGATGATTAGCAAATAAACAGCGCTGTTAATTACTAGTGGTACACAATGAACACCTCTGACCTTTCTCAGTGGGCCTAGAAAACAGTTAATTTGTTCTAATACTCTAAAAATATCTTCAAGTTGCTTACAAGACTACATGGGCTGTGAATCTTCCTAGAGTGAACAAATCTTTCTAGCACATACATGGTGTAAAGTTTCAGTCTATTTGTTCATGATTCTTCTGTCAAGACAGCAGCCTCCACACAAAGTGTTCACGGAATTCCCAACAAGCCTAGAAGACCATTCTCATCTTCCCCACTAAACCCTACGCAGAAACCAGGAACAGACCACTTCTTTGCTACAAAAATTAAGTCACACGTCCCTTTAGGTGACTGATAAGCATGATTCCTGCAAAAACCAAAGGCCTCTGTCTGCTACAGCGATCTCCTTACCTGCAAGATGCAATTACTCAGCAAACAAACATCTTTACTCACGTTTTTAAAACAAAACAAAGCAAGAAAATACAGCAACATCTGTCTGTATATTTTGACAGGAATTCAGGTTTATTATAAACATTAACACTTTCACTGAAATGTGTATTTGAGCTATGAAAGAGTGATAACTGAATCTGTGACAACATCACTGAAATTACAATAGCAATTTTTTGTGAGAAAAAAACTTGTCTCAGTAACCTTAAGTCACAAAATACTTTATCATTGTTGAAATAGTCCATCCCTACTGTAAGCCAAATAATTATAGCCCAATAGTCATCACAGAGGCTAAAAACATGTTGAATAAATTCTTGGTAGCTCCTCTAATTTCTTCTCCTGCATGTCTTCTGCTTTAGTGTAAACAACTTACTCAAGGCTTCTTCAGGCACAGGTTCCCTTCACTGTTAAGAGACACTATAATTTATTAAGTCAAAGACCTAGTTTGTATTTTCCCATCTGATCTAGTTTGTGCATTCTCACCTTCCCAGTGAATTGAACTTAAGCATAACCTGCTACCCCTATGTAGCATATTTTAATATAAATAAGAAAAAAAGCCGCAGGCAAAATATATATTCAAGCTACTCTCTTGAGTATCAACATATTGGTGTTCTTCTTACCGTTTCCCACGGGGATAGTGTCGTACATACTCTCCCACATCATGAGCAGCTACAGCCAGCACTTGGGGGTCATCAGAAACCTCGAGAAGTTTTGTCAGGATTCTAGGAAAGGATTTGAAACAATCAAGTTCTGGGGTTTGGTTTAGGGTTTTTTTGGTTTGGGTTTTCCTCAGTCTTGTTTTTGTTGTTTGTTTTTTTTTTTTTTTTTAAATCACTGATAACTTAAAATAACAAACCCTGTAACCATAAAAATGTTTTACAAGTCACCCAAAGAGCAACGCTAGAATAGAACTTTTTCCCAATTTGCAGTTGCACTTGAAACAATGGAGATCCTGCCCTATTTAACAGAATTACTAAAAGCATTCAATAGAGTAATTTCAGTGAGCCGCATCTACAAATACCTATAATCAAGGTTGAAAAAAGTATCTCCTCTTTTTTACACATTGGCTTCAAGACCAAGAGTTTTGAGTCCAAGAAAAGCTGTACTAACCAAACATATCAATATTTATAGACTGGGACAAGAGTGGGACACAAGCACAAAGCCTACACAAGGTCAACAGATGCTGTTATACAACAGACCCTAGTGATGCTCACATGCTGTTCCCAGCTCCTGCACTCTGGAATTCAGGGCCACACTGCTCGTGACACAGCAAGGGAGGTAGGACAAGCCTGTTGTCTATCAGCCTTTCACCAACTCTATTCTTCCCCTCACCTTTCAACAGTAGCCTTGCTCAGTGCAAGACAGAAAGACAAAACAGGCAGAATTTTATGCAGAATACTGTTATACAGAGTCATTTAAAAATTAAAAGGCACCCCAGCAGTTGAGAACAAAGCAATACACCACGTTCTTTGGTCTGTACAACTGTGAACTTCTCTCAGTTCAAGACCATCAACTTGATCTCAAAAACATCACTTGTTCAGTCAACTCTTCTGATCTAAAAAGCAGTTCTGTCCTAACTCAAAGACTGAGATGATGAAAGCTATACCTTGTAATTGACTCCAGTTTCATGTACTAGTTATTTTGTTAGCATGAACAGAAATACGGAGCTGTAAGAAAACAGTTTCTCAACTCTTAATATTGCCTGCATTTTTTAATTAAGTAATTTAATCAGTTTTAGTGGAAAACAGCCACCAGCAAAACAGATACAGAGGTGACTGGTGACAGCCAACATGCCTTCACAAAGGGCAAATCATGCTTGACAAATTTGGTGGCCTTCTACGAATGCACTACAGCATCGGTAGACAAGGGAGAGCAACAGATGTCATCTACCTGGATTTATGCAAAGCATTTGACACTGTCCTGCACAACATCCTGGTCTCTAAACTGGAGAGACACGGATGAGGGGAAATGGGTTTAAACTGAAAGAGGGGAGATTTAGATTAGATAGCAGGGAGAAACTCTTTCCTGAGAGGGTGGTGAGACACTGGAACAGGTTGCCCAGAGAAGCTGTGGATGCCCCATCCCTGGAGGTGTTCAAGGCCAGGCTGGATGGGGCTTGGAGCAACCTGGTCTGGTGGGAGGTGTCCCTGCCCATGGCAGGGGGGTTGGAACTCAATGATCTCTAAGGTCCCTTCCAACTCTAACCATTCTTTGATTCTATACAGGTCCAGTTAAACACAGCAAATATTACAGAATTATGTCATTCCAGACTTGAAAACTTACTTGAGTAGTTCATAATTCTTCTCATTTAGTCTTACAGCATTCTCCCTCCAAAACTTCTCAGACTTGTGTACAGGACTCCACTCCAGTCTGCCTGACTTGAGCTCAGAACTGTACTCATCGAAGGAGCTGCAACACAAAACACCTCAATGAAATACTGGCTAAGCATCTACGAGCAAAGTTTGAACCCTGTGCCCAAGCCTGCTCCCAGCAAGACAAAGCTGGAGCACGAGTTGCTATGACGCATGTGGAAGTCAGCTCTCTGCAGAGCATGAGACCTGTTCCCTGCCTTCAAGTTCAACACTTCAAAAATAAGGAAAGGCATGAAAGGAAACAGAAAAACATACCCTTCCATCCACCCCCAAAACACAACTTTTGAAGAAGGGGAAGAAAAAAAATAAAAAAAGAGGAAAAACTCAAGCTACACAGTCACATTTGGAAATTTGGTAAACACTAGCAAAAACTTGAGATAATCTGGACAGCAAAATGTATTCTAATCAGGAAGTTTTCAGCTTCAACTGGAAGTCCTATAAGACCCCTCTGAAGTCCTGTAACAATTTATCAGTTACAAAGATCATATACCCAAAGGTGAAGATTTATTTTCTATTCAGCCTGTAAATACTCAGAATAGGAAAGACTTTTATATAAAACCAGCATTTCTGTGTGCTCTACCTTATCAACTAGCATTTATGTATCATAATTCTGTATATTTAGTCTTAAAAAAGAAAAGAATTTTACCAAGGTTCATATAATTGCATATTTTTTTAAAGTTCACACTGCAAGGCTTACCTAAGGTCCTGCACGCTCTCACCAAGCTTGTCCAGTAGAAATTTGATATCTTCACTTATGTCTTCATCATCGTATTTCTGCTGATCCAAATTCTCTAGCTGCTTTAAAACTTTACACTGAATCATGGCAAGAGCATATTCCTGGCGAGTTTCTCTCTCGGTAGATTTCTCTAACAAATTCTAGGGAAGTAAAAAATTTATTTCATTAGTTTTAAGAACAGACTACTTGGAAAGAAAGTGGTATTTTAAGGAATTCTTATTGGCACATTTTGATTTAGTAAGTGACAGAATTGACCACTTCCTGAAATAATCTCTCCAAAGTAAAGTAAAATGTGCCAAAAAGCATAACCAACACTGCATTCAAGTTTAGGTCACTTAGACCTTTTTCCTTCTAGATGGTATGATACCTTCAATACCAGAAAATATTAATTCACCTGCTTTGATCATACTCCACATCTAATCAGGCTGCCTACAAAGACTATTCAAAGAAAAAGGGCAGGCTTACATCCCAAATCCAGAGACTCTAACATAAACAACTACTTTTATCTGGGATTATCGTTTCAGCTTTCTGTGCAGCAATAGCACAAAGCAGGAAAGTCTTAAAAAGAAAAAAACCCCAAACCAACCAGAAGCCATCTTTCAAACTCAGGAGTTACCATCTAGATTAGATCAACTTCCTTTGAATTTGGGAATACTCCAACTAGACATTTTAATTCAAACAGAAGCTCGTTGGTAAGACTGAAATTATAAGCACCGAATCTAACAGTCCAATTCCAATGTCATTTATTCATTACATTTCTATTCAGTTTAATCAGCTTCCAATTACGTTGTTCAATCAGAACCAGCCACCTGCACTTTTTGATAAAGCTGAAAACAGGAATTCCATATAAAAGACAAAGTCCTTAACAAACAGAACATGTGCTCATAGAAATAAGCCTTAACATCTACCAGAAATAAGCAATGAAACCATAAGAAGGAATTTGACAACATCACTCATTCATGTCACGGAACCATTACATTTAAGGTTCCTAAGACAGACATCATATTAGTGGGGCAGAGCACTGCAAGTAAACATTAAAACTTGCATACTGAAAATAAGACATATTACTACTTTTAATGACCACATACAATTAACTTTAATCAGCAAAAAAAACTTGTTTTTCAACGAGAGAACTGGTAAGTAAAGGATAATTTACAGAAAGTAATGCTAAATTACTTAAGAGTTAAAAGTTCTAGCAAGAGTAAAAGAGCAAATAATGAATCTTAAGACAAAACTCAACAAGTTCAAGAAGCAGGTAGATAAAGTTTCCAAAGAGCTCCCAGTTAAGAAAATTATAGGCAGATGTGGAAGCTACTCCAAACATTATTAGTATCCCATACTATACTGAGACATTCAAGCTTTTCACAGTGAAATTGAAAAGATACATTAGTAAAGTACAAACAGGAACATATGATAAATAGAATGCATCAGTAAACTACTCAGTGCCAAAAAAAAAATCTTAAGGTACAAAATGAGTTACAAAAAAAAAAAAATCTTAAGGTACAAAATGAGTTATAGGCAGGAAACAGACATAAAAGAAGAAAGTATGAACAAATGAGGAAAAAAAAAATTAATAGTTAAAGAGAGAAATTAATTCATTCAAAGTAGACAGAAGTACCCAATATCTGCTACTTTACAGAAAAAAAAATACATTACAATTACATATTTAGAGTGCAGGTAATTAATTTGTCAGAGGTGAAACAGGTCAAATAAGGAGAAATCAAGTATTCAAGAAGATGTATGCAAGTTGTCAAGACTCACAGCATACCTTCAGTAACACACAGGCAGTAGAGATGATCTGGGGAATCACCAAGCCTCATCCTTTATGCAATTCACATATATGTATTTTTTTTTTCCCCATGAACTTACAGTGTGGCCTCTCACGCAGGAAAAGGGGTATTTTGCCTTTGCTACCTATTTTTAATTTTGCTTCAGAACTCACAGCTCTGACGTCTAATTTCTAATCTATTTTTTCCAGGCTGCTAGTTTATCACCTCATTTTCATGCCAACATTACTCTTTAATGTTGGAGAAAGAAAACAACTCATTTTCCCAAAGCCTGTAACAGAACCATCTTTTTCTTTCTTAGCCTTTATTTATTAAAAGAACTTGGCTTCATTTTTGTCTCCTCTGTTTCTAAAATCTACTCCTCCTACTCAGAACACAAATCCTGTTTTAAAACAGGATTATGAGTTGCTATAACATTCCTGTATTACATACAGAATGCTTAGCAAGCATGTCCACAAAACTACGTGCACACGCACAGTTAGTGTCCATGAACACAAATTAACACTCTCACAATGAAGACAAACCTCAGTTATTCCAAATTATCTAGGACCAGTGATCTTCAGGTGAAGCGGACACATCAAGTCAACTAATCACTTTTACATGAATATTCTCATTCATCTTGACACAGCCTCCAAGAAAAGATTTTTGGACCAGTAGATAAAAATAATTTCTAAGTCGGTCAGTTGGACAAACATATGCATGTTTAATATAATATTTTAAAACAAAGCTTCTTAAGGCAAAATTTATCATGTATTAGTAACTACAGTGTTTTACACTAGTACCAGCAGAAAAAAGAATCTCGAACTGAAGAAGGGAGATCTCTAGTGCCTGTGCTAACATAGCTTTTTTTAGTCAACCTTATTTTAAGACGACATTGAATAGCAGAACTCTATTATTTATAATAGCATGTCTATTACCTGTAGCAAAACTCAGTTCACAAAAAGAAAAAAGGAGAATTAAGCTTTCAATCCAGTTTACTGATACACTCTAGCAGAAACAGCTGTGCATCACCAATATTTGAGACCTCCTCATCTGAGAGAGAAGCACAACACGATTGCAGTCAACAAACACTTACCCGAAATGCTGCAAGGATGATTCTAGTTACTTTCTCTTTGACGGATTCCTGAAGAATATCTGACAGCACTGGAACAATATTATACCGACGGAGGTATTCACACATTTGAGGACTGAATGCCAGCAGCCACACACAGAAAATCATCTGATACTGAAGCTGGAAGCCACATTTGTTGCTCAAGACCCCCATGATACTGAAAAATAAAGACAGTATACATCTAGTTTTTAAATAATGACTGCATCGATTGCATTTATCCACCCTGAAACATTGAAAGAAAGGGTTAACAGGAACTTATTGGAAAGAGCAGCTGAGGATGAGTATACACCACAGTATCCTGCACCAGTATTTATCACTGTACAAGCAGCTTGTTCAGAAAGCCATCTTTTAAAGATGTAGTTATTTCCTCCTTAGCCTTACAGCCATAAAGCAGCTTCTCTCATGTGAGCTGATGTGGTACTGAATCCATCTCTAGGCTCACTGAGACTCTTTTTCTACTGACATGCTTGGAGCATTATTTGTCATTCTAGGAGAAACAGAAACACAGAGCTACTCCTTCAGAGTTAAGAAAAAGGAGGAGTAAACAGACAGAGCAAAATCTACACAAATTGAACTCATTTCCTTAATTTTATCTCTCCCCAGGAGCGTCTGAAATGAGCTGAAGTAGTCATTATTTAACAAGAGAGTTCTCAGAAAACAGCTTATACATATAACACACCACAGATATACAAAGAACTGCTAGAGAAAAAATAAAAGTCACAAGGTCTCCAAGAAGAAGTCACACAGAAGCTTTGTTCAGCTGAAGCTTTGAAAATCTAATAAGCCATTTACAAGTCCATTCCAAAAAAGCTAACGCAGTTTAAAAAAAAAATTAACTACTTCGAAGATTGTTGCTATCAAAATTAAGACAAATTCAAACTTCTTGAAATGCAGGCTTATTGTAATGCTTTAATAGTTTATTGAAAAGCTTGATGAAAAAGTTTGTTTCAACAGTGGTATCTTGACACACGTGAACATCTTTTGAACTTTCACTGACTTTTCTCCATTTCAGAGTACAGGGGTATTTTTTCCTAAACTGCAAACCATATTGTCACCATCCCCAATAGAGGCACACATGGCAGAAAAGCCACTATAGACAAGCATTTTTTAAAGAATGAGTGACAACATCCTAACCTCACGTAAAGCTATTTCTGAAGAGAAGCTGGATAAAAGAATGACCTACTTGAAGTCATATGTAGAAAAAAAAAAATGAGCTTAGCTCTAGAACCTGCTTCTCCTTTCACTAATATTTTCAGACTGAGCAACTCCAAGCTGAAAGACAAGGAATATTAGCAGAAACTCATTTTGTTAGTCCTTGATCTATTAAATAAAAACCAGAGCATCTTCAGCTGAAGACAAATGGCTTTATTCCCCTTTGGATACTTATTCAAGCAGTTCTTCATGAAGAGTAAAGTAGCATTAAAGCCTCAACATTGGTACTTATATCTGCAAGTTTCAGTTGTCTATTTGACTGCGTTAATATTTTTGCACTCAAATTGAGCAGCTGTCTTTTGCAAAAGAGTTCTATTCCAAAACAGGTCAGTGGAGAACGTGCTATTGGTAAGTGCAAGCATATCCATATAAATTGAAATAAATGCTCACCAATTTACTCCATCTGCTTCTACCCACGCAAAGCGATATTCATTGACCCTGAGCATCAGCTGCAGACATCCAGCAACACATTGTACATACTGGGAACTCTGGGTGAAAAGAAGAACACATCACTTCTTAAAAGAAGAGTTAGGTAGCAAGTACTGAAGTTCAGTTTTCCAAACCAGGCTTTACTGGCATACTTCAACACATTTTTCTTCAGCATCACTTCCAGGTTAAACAGGCTCACTCTTATAATGCCTTATAGCCCTCTACTTAAAAAAAAAAAAAAAAAAAAAAAAAAGTCTTACAAGAAAAGGTGAGAAGCAAATTATAAATTGAGAAGAGTTCTGAATAGGAAGGTGTTATGCAAGTAATACCATTTTACATTACCATAACAGATTTTTATAGCCCATTTGAACATGCCAACTTTCAGCATCTATGAACGAAGGCTGCCTTCTGTTTGATTATAGTGCCAGAGCCCTGCCGTCCACAGAGTCAATTGTTATTCCACTGAGTAAACTTTGGGAAATAAATCAGCAAACGGGTTACCAAGCTTGAAGAAGTTTGCTAGTGGTCATTGTAGAAAAAGGAATCTTGAGCTCAGGGTCTTCCTACTCCCATTTTCCAACTCAGAACAGCAGTGGTGTCATTACAATTGTATTTTCCTAAGCATGTGCCACACAGTAAGTACCATGCTTATCATAATGAGATGTATATTTATACCAAAAAAAATTACCATTAGACAAATAAGTATGCAAAACCATCCTCAAAGTTTAGCTCTGCATTTTAATTTTTTTTTCTTCCTTTCATTAAAAGCTCAGCACAGCATACTGTGCTAAGAAAAGAATAGTAAGACTAAAAGTTTCCCATAAGGAAAACACTGAAAAATGCACCACTGAATTCTATTTTCATTCAGACTCCTCTATCACAAAAACAGAATCATTTAAACAGCTTTTCATCTCTAAAAGCACGTATTTTCTGTGCAGTAACACATATGATGGGCTGCAGTTCAAAAATGAGGTTTGGTCAACACATCATCACTTCCACTACACCAACAGAAAGATCCCAAAGTACAACAGAAGCGACATTTTTTTCCTCTCTTCTTGTTCAACTACTGGCATTATCTTCAGTAATAAAATGTTGGGTTTTTTTTTCCTATAAGCCTTTCTTTACTAAGTGCCTTGAAAGTTTTAAGGTAGATTGCTCACATAATACGAGGTCAAACCTTTCAAACATGTAATAAAGAAATTAGGGAATGCCACATGAAAAGAGACAATAAACAGAATTAAAAATAAAGATTAATTCATTCTGTCTCTCTCAGAGATTACGACCTTGATGTAAAAACTGAATATCTAGGCCCAAAACATCATACAGAACATTCATTTCCCTGGGTAGGTATTAACTCTCATACAACATGCAAATAAAACAGCTATAAACACACAGACAGCCCTCCCACCCCAAATAATGCATTCATTTATCTGCATCACCAACCTGTGTACTACTGAACTTGGAGTTTTCTTTTTAAAGAATCTGTCATAAAAGTATTCTATTCCAACACTATTATAATTGAAATTTCATAATAGCTCCCAGCCCTCATTTCCTGTGTAAAATGCTACAACTGCCTCTCTAATTTACTCTGAAATAAATTAGTCTGGACCTGCTTGGAAATCCTGCGCAAGCTGGATCTGAAATCAGAACACTAACGAAGTCAAGGCAATGCTTACCCAACTTAATTATCCTAGCCCAGATCTGCACTACCAGTTCAGCTGCTTTGGGACCCTGCAGCAGTTCGGCGGTACATCCACGTAGTGCTACAGTACAAAGACTGATTTCTAAGCAAGTTAAAAGAGCTCACAGCTCCATAACAAGTTGTGTTGTGTGCTGTAAACTATTTACTCTTTTACAGCTGTATGACTGAGGGCTGTCAGCCTGACAAAACCTAACAGTATAGCACACAGAACTGCACATGGAATACTGAAATATTTCAACTTCTCTGCTCAGTCTGTCATTTTACCCCCATCCATGGTCACACATAAGTCTTACACCTTTTCTTTTGCAAAGCCCAGTCAGGTTTTTTTTTCAGAGGCTTTTCTCTAAAGCCGTGACTACATTTAGAAGAAAAAAAAAGAAATCCAAATTCATATTTAAGTCTTCTGAAAAACTGTAAACATTTTCAGGTTGGAAAAGGAACAAAAGATCAAACTGAATCCTACTCCACATTCAAAAGCTCTGATAAACCACCCCATTGTGCCACAACAAAACAGAAAATCCAGTTCTGATGATCACTTGTGTTTGCTGTACTGCCCCAGTTCATCTCCAAGCTCAACAGCCGTTATAGGGACATGAAATTCAGCATAAGTAAATACTGACAAGGCAAAAAGGACAATCCATTTTGCCCTGAATTCAAGCTATTCAAATATTAAAAGCTTACAGCTTGCTCTTGTAATTTCATGCTACAGAGACTGAGGGGCGATCTCAGGTTTCTTCTACAAATCCAACAGTTCAGTGCTAAACCGAGAGCATTGTTCAAATATTAAATTTATTGCACACAGTTTTTTCCAAGTTTTAACAGAGAGAATGCTAGATACATCTACAATTTTGACCAAAACCAATTTGTAAAATACATACTTCCACTGTCAAGATTTTCTGCAAAATCAGTGTTTTTAAAATACTTTTGTTTCTTGGCGCCATCACCTGGCCCTCTGTTGTCGTACAGTTCTGACTCCAAGTACTTTCTCTTACTGGCACCAGAACAGCTCTGCACCTCAACCCAAGGAGTGGGTATCACCTGCCCAAACCACCAAATTGACCAACTTCAAACATATACTCACATCACTTGTGGAGACTGCTCCTGCTTCCACAGAACCACGTAGTTTCTAGGGGGGAAAGTAAAAAAAAAAAAAAAAAGTCTCAAATCAGAGTTGTCCTTCACCCCTACAGAATAGTTGTTACCAAGTTTCTTTTAATTGTCCAATCTCTCTACTTATAAAAAGAAAATATTAAAATCCAATAGAATCTTTTCCTGGCCAATATATTATAATATATTGTATTTATTTCACACACAATCATGTCTAGAAGAACATGCTTGGAGCCAGTCCTGGTAAATCAAGATTTAAATTTATTTCTTTATTTTAAGTGTGTATTTACTCAAGACTTTTATCCAGCTTCATCTCAGAATTTGAAAACTGTTCTCTTGAATCTTTCTGAAAGAAATTCCAGCTTTAAGATTCTTCCTTCAAAGAAAACAAAGAATTCCTTTTTAATAAACCCAGTTCGGAAATCTACGAAAAAGATACTGTTAATAAACCTACTGAATGATTTTTAGCTCTCCAGAATCCACTTTTGCTGCAACACCACTGGGTTTTGATAAGGGTTGAAGGAAAAATCTCCAAAAATGAATACAAAGGAGAACGATTCATCTTTCACAGACAAGCCAGTGTTAGGCAGATCATACTGAGCCAATGCCTTAAAAAAACCTGTCCAAATAAGCCAGGTTTTATTTAATTGCAAGAGACAGGACTAAAAATAAGTACTTTGTACTATGGTAACCTGGAAAAAAGTTTTGATATCCACTTCCTGCTGCCATGTGACTTTTCATCCCAGCAAAAAGCTCTGAGAAACAGAACAATCCAAGGAGACAAAAAAACCCAAAACTGTCATCACATGTTTTCTCAGTGTCCAGAAGAAAAAAACCAATGTTAACCAACAGAAAAGGCAAAAAGCCCATTTTTGTTTAATTTACATTTCAAGGACTAGAACAGAAAAAATATTAAGTTAAAAACTGTGTGTTTGAATAAAGGATATTTAGCTTTAAAAATGACAAAGTAAAATTTTAGTTTTGTTTTTTTTTAAAATGAAAATATACCTCTTGCTTCCACATCTGTATATTCATATTCTCGAAAAAAGTTTCCAAAATCAGTGTAATGTTGAAACAGAAATAGCTTTTTACCTGTGAACTGAGCTGAGTTTTAATCCAGTTGAAATAGTAATTCAAGTCACTGCCTTCCATAAGCTCCCTCCCCCAGGCAGCCAGTTTGGCAATAATTCTTGCTGCCTGAAAAAAAAAAATGCAATAAACAGATTTTTCAAATGCAGCATTCAGAATTTCAGAATTCAGTGTAAAGTCCTACGAGCTCTGGAAACCAAGTTGAGGTAGAAGATGGCACGTTACAGAAATCTGCCTGTTTTCTATGTAGGGGACTCCTCATGCCTAGTAATTTTGTTTCTTCGGTGTTCTGCTACTTCTACTTCCTAGGAACTGGCATATTTTCATACTGTTATCAGACACCTGTAGCTGATGAAGCTTACAAGACATCAACGAAGAACTTGGAAGGGAGCTATCAATGGGCTACTGCTGTAAGACACCATTTCAGTCAGAAATCCATCAACAGTAAGACACTTAATGGCCTAACACACACATGAGCAGGCTTAAAGGAACTCTGGCATACACCAACACAAATGACTGCAAAGTATTAAAGTTTTTTGTACTTAAACTGAAACAAGTCACCTTCAAGAAGGGAGAAACCCAGAAAAAGAAGAGCAGAAAACCAAAAGGGAAGGTAGAATTTAAGAATGAAGTTGAGGAGTAAAAAAGGTAGTCGGCTAAAGAATTTTCATGATGCCCATGACACAAGAACATACATAATGAGTATATTTCATAGAAACATAGGACAGTTTGGGTTGGAAGGGACCTAAAGATCACCGAGTTCCAAACCCGCCCAGTGCCATGGGCAGGGACACCTCCCACTAGACCAGGTATAGCAGACCATATTTCTGGTGTCAGCCTTTCCAAATGTTTGAAGTAACTGCATTGCAGCCTGCAGCTTATTTGCAGGAAGATTTGAGCCAGTTTATACATAAAGAGGCACTCTGAGCAAGAAACTACTGAAGGAGGAGTTTGCTTTCCCAGCTCCGTGATGCAGCGTGGAGACTATTCCATACACCTTTCCACTCCACTGAATTTAGATGTGCAACACCACCACCACTGATTTCTAGAGGGATTACAAGAGCCTGCAACAAAAATCTCTACGCTGAAATGCATCAAATGCACTTCCAAATACAGCCAAGTAATCCTATAAAAATCCCTGCAGCTTTAAATCATGAGATATTAGATCTCCAGTCTACCATGCTCCTGTGTTAAAACTGCTGCCTGGCCCCTGAAGGAGACACCATTCATGGCAAGCAGAATTTGAGCCTGGACACAGGGGACAAGTATTTTTATCTGTCTACACGTATGCAGTGATGTGGGCATCAAAAGTCTCCCAGTGTGCATAGGAAGGAAAAAAAAAAAAAAGAAAAAAGCAACACAACAAAACCCCCACAAACCTAAAGCTTTGATTTGAAAACATTCATGTGCTTGAAAGGAAAAAAAAATATATGCACAAAGAGTACTAAAAAGGCATAATTAGCACCCTGCAGTGCTAAGGGACATGGTGTAGGGGAGGACTTTGTAGAGTAGGGTAGATGGTTGGACTCGATGATCCCAAGGGTCTCTTCCAACCTAGACGATTCTATGATTCTATGATAATAAGGGAGCAAACTTAGTGTTTTAAAGTGGATTTGTGTCACATGAGGTTCTCTGTGACTTGTATAATCATTTGTGTATTTTTGCAGTACCTAAACACATCTGTGAGCACAGAAATACTGCACATAGAGATTTCTATACTATACATTTGAAAGCCACCATTCCAAGGAGACTAATTAGTTTGCCCTGCAAAGGTCTAAAAATCACACTTTGCCTGAACACTTGACAAGTCACTACTGTCCGAGTTTGCTTAGACTGCAATTTTGCAGAAAACCACACACCCCAACCTAAAATCCCCCAATAGCTTCCTCTGTCACCCGCACCAAGTAAAACCTGATTCCACAGCCCTGCCATGAATCAGTCCAATTTAGAAGAAAAAATACACCACAATCAAGCCTGACATTTTTCTTGAAAATGAGCCAGCTGACTATTCAGGTGACAGCACAGCCACACACACAGTTGCACTGGCCACACCTAAGGGCAAACAGCATGACTTGCCTGGAATTCCTTGTACCACCAGTACTGCCACCACAGCACAACGCAGCCCTGATTTGATTCTACCACGCTGTGCCAGCATCAACATATGCAGTGAAGAACAATTCGTAGCCATGCACTCTTCTCCCTTTTCAAGCCATAATACAAGTTTGATTGGGAGAAACTATGGTCTCCACTAGGAATTTACAGTAACACAACCGTATTTTTCATCCCACAAGGAAAAAAAATTGCTGGGATGAAATGGCCGATTCTCACCACAGATGACAGCAGAACATTAAGAATTCCAGAAAAGTTACTCCATATACACCAGCAGCACTCAGTGGCTCAAAGCAGGCACCACAGCAGATACCATACAATGCACGTAGTTATACTCAGTTTGGCTGGAAGAGATTTAATTTTCTTCACAGCAGCCCATATGATGCTGTGGTTTAGACTGGTGACCAAAACCAGTGCTGATAACACAGCAGTGGTTTAGCTGTGCTCACACAACATCAAGGACTTCTCTGTTTCTCACTCTACACTTGCAGTGAGTAGGCAGGAGGGGGCAGGGGGAACAAGAGGCTGGGAGGGACACAGACAGGACAACTTGACCAAAGAGATATACTGGCTAGGCATTGGTCTACTGTTGTGTGATTGCTTTTGCATCGCTTCTTTTTTGGTGGATTTATTTTGGGTTCCTACCCTCCTCCCTTCCTCCCCCCGCTTCTCTTATTAAACTGTCTTTATCTCAACCTATGAGTTTTCTCACTTCTGGCCTCCCAGTTCTCTCCCCAGTCCCGCTGTGGGGAATTGTGCAAGCAACTGGGTGGGAGCTTTCATAGAATCACAGAATTGCCTGGGTTGGAAAGGACCTTTCAGATCATACAGTCCAACCATCAGCCTAACACTGGCAAAAACCATCACTAAACCATATCTTTAAGCTCTATGTCAACCCGTCTTTTAAATACCTCCAGGAACTGTGGCTCAACCACTTCCCTGGGGAGCCCATTCCAATGCTTAATAACCCTTTCAGTGTAAAAAATTTTTCCTAATATCCAATCTGAACCTCCCTTGGTGCAATTTGAGGCCACTTCCTCTTGTCCTATAACCTGTGAGTTGTGAGAAGAGACCGACCCCCACATCTCCACAACCTTCTTTTCCTGTCAGCCAGGATCAACCCACCACAACAGCAAAGTTATTTCTTCCCCAGTATGCTTACAAACCATTTTAAGCAGATTTCAAGTGGCATTATAGTAATTTGAGAATATGAGAGAATAATGTTCATCAAGGTAAAGCTATTTCCCTTTCACAGTATGAGAATTCAAATTCTAATATTTGTACAGCATGGCAGTTGTGACAAAAGTTATTTTTCTAGTTATGTCTTACTGCGCTTAAACAATTCTAAAATCCTTGCTTTTCTGAGCCTTTAAAACCTGCTCAAATCTCCCAGAGAAAACAAAGTCAATAAACAATGTAACTTTTCTTTCTTAAATGTGGTCAAGTGAAGTTTGTATTAAGAATTACTGGTCTAGACTGCAAGAGGAAAGCTGTCCTGGCAGTAGTTTAGCTTCAAACTCCAAATTCTTCTAAAGAAAGACAAAACCAGCATTTTTCTCTACCATCTTCGGAGACAGGTTCATTTAAAACTTACCATATGAACAGTGAAAAGATCTTGTCGATTCAACATGGGCAGAAAATAGGACCATGCGGTGTTTTTACCACGTTTTGCATAATCGAAAAAGATACAAACACGCTGGTGATTTTCCTGTAAATATTGGGAGAAGGGAAAAGATCAGAGACTTGTAAAAGCATTCAACATAAAGTAGGTATTTGCTCCTCATTATGCTGGCATACATTATCAGAGCATATCCTGATATTGTAACAGCTTATGAAAATTTGTTTTGACAGTTACTTGTGGATACAGTTCATTTCAGCATTCCAACATTAAGACTAGAGATTCGGACCAGGGGGAGGCAAACTTTGGCACCCTAATTATATCTCAGTAGTCCAACATCTGCTTGAGTAAAACTGGATATATCCTTCTGATGAAGCAAGCAAAATGAGAGAAATGAGAGAAATGAGAAACTAGCTAAATACTGCCACTTTCCAGAGGAACACTACTCCTCACCCAATCAATTCTGCTTGAATGAAGTTCATACAAAGTTTTCCACATGTTGCTACTTCCACACAAAAGCCTATTGTTCAACAAAGTGGAACTTCAGAGAGAGGTAAGCTAGTCCTGTCTCTCCACTCCTCTCAATGAGGAGAGAGCTTTTATCTCCCAGATGAGGCTGCAACTGGTTAAGCTGTTATCTCGGGCAACCTGCATACCTCAGAGAGGACACAGTCACCAGAACTCTGTTCTCCATGGCTTCTAGGCTGAAGAAGAGACCACAAGTACCTGAACAAGTGCCACGCACAGTTTCTTCAAGTATTTCACCTAATAACCACTGTGAAAAGCAGCTGTTACAGTTTCTTCAAGCATTTCACCTAATAACCACTGTGAAAAGCAGCTATTATGGTTCTCCTTAAAGCAGACCAGAGAAAAGGTCATGCAAACCTGAAGCAGAAAGAGGAGCTCTGCTCTTTCCTAATAGCCTACAATATAGACAGTCTTCCAGAAAAATCAAATACCTAGATTCTTGCTTTTCCCCAGCATTTCCATATAATTACTAGCCTGGTGGATAGCAAGCTTTCATTCTAAAGAGAAGCCTCCCATTGAAGTCAAGCTATTACAACAAAGTATACAACTCCTGTCAAGGATGGTAAAACTGTTTGAAACACAAACTCCAATGAGAACACTGTCTCCACTACCCAAGGAATTTAATTTTCAAACTCCCCTGGCTGAAGGGCTTTCCTCCATCAATTCAGCACCCTATTAGTGATTTTACGGACCAAGAACCAGCTAGGCAAGCCTACTTGCTGGAATATGATCTATTATGCACAGAATGACCCAGATGTAGCCATGATCCAAACACTGGCATCTCACCAAGCATCAGAGTTGCAACCAACCCTTTGCTGAAATGATCAGTTACTGCACCACATTGGCTGGAAATTGCTGTCCTCATCACTGACTGGAGAAGGGCAGGTGTCACTAGTGATCTGACAGTCATAACCCTTACAATGATCAATGTTCTATATGGCATGTGTCAAAAAGCACTCAAAAATCCTCTTAAAATGTGCTGTTCAAACTATGAAATAAAAAAATAAAATAAGATCTGTGGAACACAGTACCTTGTTAGAGAGCCTCCACTCCGTGAAGGCTTGTTTGAAGAAAAATGGCAGTGTGATCAAATAAATCACTGTTAGCATCTACAGATACGCTATACAGAGTCTAGCTAAAAAGATCAAAAATAACTAGATAAATGAGTTCAGTTTACAGTATAAGTAAGGAAGAGACAGCTCTGGAAGCAGAAAAGCTGAAACAACTTCAACAGGCTGTTAATCAGAAAACTAATCTGGTTTGCTGTTAAGGTGCGGGGAAGGAGTGAAAAACTGCCTTTGGCCCTGAAATACATAGTGCTGCACCTTCCTAGGCAGCTACTGACTACACTGATAAACTGGAAATCCTGAAGATCTCGTGTCAACGTGTGAATAATTTAGCATCTGTCATTTCTGAAGAAGCATAATGAAGCTGACTTGGGTGCTATTGCTACCAGCACCATCTACAGTGCAGGGTCTTAAAAGATTTCACAAGCAACAGACCGTGCAGTGTGACAGGGTCACTAATCCAGAGAATCTGTTCCATGTATTTATCATATGAATAGATTAAGAAATATTTCCTCAGGGATTCCAGTATGTTAACACCCAGGAATAGGCAGTACAGTGATATTCTTCTAAGGCAATCGCCATATTAATTTCACTTCTGACAGCCTCCAAAAGAAATCTTTCTTAGAACAATGATTAAACCTGTAAGTTGTACTGCTGGAATAATCCTAAACACCCAGGTAGGCTTTCGGTGTGCTCAAAACACAGCTGATATGACATTTACAACTTCACAAGAAAAGCTCCGAAATGTAATGGCAGAACCACAGATAGTCATTAACAACACAGACAAAAGCTGGATGATGTTACCTACGATAATTTCTCAAGTATCAGCTATCAAAGGTAGTGACCATCCTTCCTCAAAACACTTTTACTCAGAGTCAGTGGCACCATGAGAGGCAATTGTTCAATCCTTGAATAATTTCTCACTTAAAATCTTCTTTGCATGTACTAAATTAAGACTACTTAGGCAAAGACAGGAGACTTCTTATCATCTGTTGTGGATTCTTCTGCTTGTGCACTAAACTCACAGTCATGGAGTCAATGGCCAATAATGCTGCTTTCTGGAAAGAATCTTACACCTTGAAAAGCTGCAACCGAGGGTTCGTAAAACATGACTGACAGCATATTCTACCCTCTGAACACAACCAAAGGAAAACAGAAGTCCTGTTCCAGCCTTGCATGGAGAGTTAGGAAGCCCTGGGATGATGCCAGGCAGATGCCTGCACACAAGACACCCCTGGATAACGAAGTCACATAGAGCAATGCAGCCTTTCAGACACTGAAGCAGAATTTTTAAAGTGAAAAAGGCATCCAATTTCAAACAAAAGCAAAAATATACTGTGCAGCGACATCTCTGTTCTCCTGTATCACTATAAAGCCTGGACAATTTAAAGTCATTATGTTTAACATTAAGAATTCCGCATATGCCACTTCTGCGGCAGGGTAAGGCCCTAAATAGAGAAATGTCAGTGCACAACCATAAAGTCAAAAAACATGTTTATCAAGACATTGATATTTGGGCCACACTTGATGAAAAGTATATCGAAAGAAGAGATGAGAGGGTCAGAGTGACAAAACTGCAGATGGGCACGAATAAACTGCCACCACCAGTATTATTCTAGCAGTCAGGGCACACACTCAGGGCTCTAATGTGCAGACAGGCACCTGAAAGAACACCATAATCCCCATCTTATACATATTGCTGGAAGGAAAACTCACATGGTTCATCTCCTACAGCAATGCCCTAAATGGTTAAGTTATCACCAGACACACAGCAATGCCCTAAAGTTAAGTTATCACCAGACACCTTTCACTGTAACCTCATATTCAATGTAACATAAAATAGCAGAAGAAACTGTCAAACAGCCAGACATTCTATGTGAACGCCAGGAGAAAAACTTGAACAACTCAACCCATCTTGTTAAATTATTACCTCAACCACTTTCTCTTAGCCCATTAGAGAGTGAAGAAATGCAAAAGCAAACATAAAACAGAAGAAAAGAAACTGTCAAACAGACAGACATTCTATGTGAACACCTGGAGAAAAACTTGCACAACTCAACCCATCTTGTTAAATCATTACCTCAACCACTTTCTCTTACCCATTAGAGAGTGAAGAAATGCAAAAGCAGGATCATGTGATTGAGCAAAGACTCCACTTGACTTGCCCAGGTCAGCACAGAAGTCCTGACACCAAATTTAATAGCCTACTCTTCTAAGTCACTGTATCCCATAGCTACAACGAACTACATATTTCATTGAAACAAAAGTTCCCATTTTATAAATAAACCATGGAGAACTTCAGAACATACTGTCCTAAACAGTCTAACTTATGTTGGATACCTGAAGCTGCACAAACTACACCTTTTTGCTGAGGGTGGCCAAACAAACACCTTTGCAGGAAAAGCTTCAACAACTTCAAGTTCGAAGTTGTACCCTATCTACACAGCAGGAAACAACAGATATCACAAATCATCCCTTAGCATCCAAGTCTTGCATCAAACATGGTTGAGAGCCAACAGACACCCATACAGGTCTGTTTTATTTCCAGAATATGAACGTATTTACACAAGTCTAAATTACCCATACAACTTTAGTCTTAACATTTAACTTCTGAAGACAAGATCTGAAAATTTAAAAGAATATTTTTTAATACAGTATGACAAACACCTGAAGAGACCTGAATTAGGCTAAGACAATATTAAAGCATGCATTTAAAGACTTAAAAAATAAGACAGGTTATTGACCTACTTGCAGCATATCATCAACCATAGTCAGAATGTACTGAACCGTCTGTTCCTTGGAGATATGAGTCATCAAGTTTATAAATGTTTTAGCACACTAGAAAAATAAGAAAGGCATTAAAATTAATATTAGAAATTATCTTCATTGCTTTTGATAATATAAAACAGGACCTCATTAATTCACAGTTAGGTCTTACATAAGAATTGAACATCCCAACATCTTATTCAATTGCAATAAGAGATGAATGCATTTGGCATTACATGACAAAGAAAATTTTCTGTCACATGGATCGTTAGCTCTTTACAAATTGTTTTATGGCTTTCAAATGAAATAACAAGTACTTGCTAGTGAAAGTCAGCAAGATGCTTTGTTGAAAGACTGATTAGAAAAATCTTTTGTGGCAGTGAGGAGAATCAGCGAGGAAACTGACAAAACATCAACAAATTTCAACACAGTACAAGACAGTTTCAGCAAGGTGAATGGAAGGGGTGAGGGGAAGTCAGGTCACTCTTACCTGTTCACTGCCTATACCTTGTAGACAAATCTTTGTTCATATTTGGGCTGTTTTCTGGCTCCTGAACAACTCTACAATTTCAGGAACAGTCACAATACTACTTTTTACACTTCCTCCTTCCCCTTCACCCCATTCAACAAAGACAGAAAGAAAAATGGAACTCTTGAGCTGCTACACTGTAATTATATAGTGGCATATAATGTTCACCATATATGTTTTTTGCCACTATGCAAACTATGGTCCATTCAACAGCTGTCACACAAGACAATTTGGGGGGGGGGGGGGGGGTGTACAAACAGCTCAAAAAAAAAAAGTGATTCAAGTATAACTCTGCACGATTAAATAAATTGGGATGAGGAAAGATTAGAGCTAGCTTGTCCCACAAAATCCTTCAAAGTCAAATGACATTTAATAATTATTTAATAGGTTTTTAAAATAATGTCCAACCTATATCTAGGGAAAAAAAATGGTTATAGCAAGTTTAATACTTTGTCCATAACATCTTAAGCATATATAGCCAACATTAAAATACAGTTGGTACAAGAATTTCCTTCCATCCTCCTACTCAAAAGATAGATTAAAAAAAAAGGAAAGTTACTTGATTGCCTTCTGTTTGCAACAACTCCTGTTTTTCTTCTGGATTTCTCTTCTGTTCAAATCTTTGAATAAATTCACAGTCTTCACCTGAAATCATCTGCCCTCTGAAAAGCAAAAGATAAAAATCATAAGCACCACAAACAGTAAGTTATTTCAAACTGTATTAGGTTTACATGGCAAGAGTTGGGTAGCGGGGTGGCTGCAGGGGCAGCTTCTAGGAGAAGACACCAGAAGGAGCCCTCAGACTGATACGGGGGACCCCTATCAGACCCCCATGGGCCGATAGAGCTAACGCCAGTTGGCTCCAAGCTGGACCCACTGCTGGCCAAGGCTGAGCCACTCAGCAAGGGTGGTAGCACCTCTGTGAGAACATGTTTAAGAAGGGGAAAAAGTTGTTGTGCAACAGCAACTGCAGCCAGAGAGAAGAGTGAGAATACGTGAGAGCAACAACTCTGCAGTCAGTGAAGAATGAGGGGGAGGAAGTGCTCCAGGCCCCGGAGCAGAGATTCCCCTGCAGCCCATGGTGAAGACCATGGTGAGGCAAGGTGTCCCCCTGCAGCCCAAGGAGGACCACATGCTGTAGCAGGTAGGTATGCCCTACAGGAAGCTTCAGCAGGTTCCTGGCGGGAACCGTGACCCTGTAGAGAAGAGCCCACTCTGGAGCAGGTTTTCTTGCAGGACCTGTGACCCCATGGGAGGACCTACATTGAAGCAGTCCATTCCTGAAGGACTGCACCCATGGGACAGGACCCACACTGGTGCAGTTTGTGAAGGACTGTAACCTGTGGGCAAGACCCTGTAGTGGAGCAAGGGAACAGAACGAGAAGGAAGGAGTGGCAAAAACAAAGCACTATGAACGGACCACAACCCCCATTCCCCATCCCCCAGCATCACTCAGGCGGGAACCGTGACCCTGTAGAGAAGAGCCCACTCTGGAGCAGGTTTTCTTGCAGGACCTGTGACCCCATGGGAGGACCTACACTGGAGCAGTCCATTCCTGAAGGACTGCACCTATGGGACAGGACCCACACTGGTGCAGTTGGTGAAGGACTGTAACCTGTGGGCAAGACCCTGTAGTGGAGCAGGGGAACAGCATGAGAAGGAAGGAGTGGCAAAAACAAAGCACTATGAACAGACCACAACCCCCATTCCCCATCCCCCAGCATCACTCAGGTAGAGGTGGTAGAGAAGTCGGGAGTGAAGTTGAGCCTGAGAACAAGGGAGGTGTAGGGGAAAGGTGTTTTTCAAGATTTGTTCTTATTTCTCCTTATCCTACTCTGTTTAATTGGTAATAAATTAATTTCACCAAGGAGAGTCTGTTTTGCCCATGATGGTAATTGCTGAGTGATTTCCCTGTCCTTATCTCGACCCAAGAACTTTCATCACTCAGGTAGAGGAGGTAGGTAAGTCGGGAGTGAAGTTGAGCCTGAGAACAAGGGAGGTGTAGGGGAAAGGTGTTTTTCAAGATTTGTTCTTATTTCTCCTTATCCTACTCTGTTTAATTGGCAATAAATTAATTTCACCGAGGAGAGTCTGTTTTGCCCATGATGGTAATTGCTGAGTGATTTCCCTGTCCTTATCTCGACCCAAGAACTTTTTGTCCTATTTCTTCCCCTGTCCTTTTGATGAAGAGAGAGTAATAAACCTGCCTGGTAGGCATGTGGTAGCCAGCCAAGGTCAACGCACCAAACCAACCTTATTTTCTTCAAGCTGGTATCTCAACAGTATCACTTTACCAATCCTATATCCCACAGCAGAAGGTAAAGAGCTCCTTTCTGCAAATGGTCTCACATACAAAGAATCTGTAACTAGTGACAGAATCACAGAATCACAGAATTGTAGAAGGTAAAGAGCTCCTTTCTGCAAATGGTCTCACATACAAAGAATTTGTAACTAGTGACAGAATAACCTCTCTTAAGTCCTCCCCGTGCATCGCCTCTGCTAGACAGCATTCTCTAAACACTTCCTAAACTTCCAGAGGCTGACCATAATGGTCAGTGGAAATAGCTGTAAGAACTGAAATACATACAGCTAGCACATCATGCCAAAGTTATAACACATAACATAAATAATAGTCTAGTCCTAGCTGAAAGAAGTGCTGAAAAATAAAATTAATTGTTACCTTAACCCCTGAAGAGAATTTTAAGGACTACAGAGAACCTGATTCCAAATACATTTTTAGTTTTCATTAATTACAACTTGAAGCAGTCCATTCCTGAAGGACTGCACCCATGGGACAGGACCCACACTGGTGCAGTTTGTGAAGGACTGTAACCTGTGGGCAAGACCCTGTAGTGGAGCAAGGGAACAGAACGAGAAGGAAGGAGTGGCAAAAACAAAGCACTATGAACGGACCACAACCCCCATTCCCCATCCCCCAGCATCACTCAGGTAGAGGAGGTAGGTAAGTCGGGAGTGAAGTTGAGCCTGAGAACAAGGGAGGTGTAGGGGAAAGGTGTTTTTTAAGATTTGTTCTTATTTCTCCTTATCCTACTCTGTTTAATTGGCAATAAATTAATTTCACCGAGGAGAGTCTGTTTTGCCCATGATGGTAATTGCTGAGTGATTTCCCTGTCCTTATCTCGACCCAAGAACTTTTTGTCCTATTTCTTCCCCTGTCCTTTAGATGAAGGGAGAGTAATAAACCTGCCTTCTGGTAGGCATCTGGTAGCCAGCCAAGGTCAACGCACCAAACCAACCTTATTTTCTTCAAGCTGGTTTCTCAACAGTATCGCTTTACCAATCCTATACCCCACAGCAGAAGGTAAAGAGCTCCTTTCTGCAAATGGTCTCACATACAAAGAATTTGTAACTAGTGACAGAATAACCTCTCTTAAGTCCTCCCCGTGCATCGCCTCTGCTAGACAGCATTCTCTAAACACTTCCTAAACTTCCAGAGGCTGACCATAATGGTCAGTGGAAATAGCTGTAAGAACTGAAATACATACAGCTAGCACATCATGCCAAAGTTATAACACATAACATAAATAATAGTCTAGTCCTAGCTGAAAGAAGTGCTGAAAAATAAAATTAATTGTTACCGTGTTTTTCAAGATTTGTTCTTATTTCTCCTTATCCTACTCTGTTTAATTGGTAATAAATTAATTTCACCAAGGAGAGTCTGTTTTGCCCATGATGGTAATTGCTGAGTGATTTCCCTGTCTTTCACCGAGGAGAGTCTGTTTTGCCCATGATGGTAATTGCTGAGTGATTTCCCTGTCCTTATCTCGACCCAAGAACTTTTTGTCCTATTTCTTCCCCTGTCCTTTTGATGAAGAGAGAGTAATAAACCTGCCTGGTAGGCATGTGGTAGCCAGCCAAGGTCAACGCACCAAACCAACCTTATTTTCTTCAAGCTGGTATCTCAACAGTATCACTTTACCAATCCTATATCCCACAGCAGAAGGTAAAGAGCTCCTTTCTGCAAATGGTCTCACATACAAAGAATCTGTAACTAGTGACAGAATCACAGAATCATCGCCTCTGCTAGACAGCATTCTCTAAACACTTCCTAAACTTCCAGAGGCTGACCATAATGGTCAGTGGAAATAGCTGTAAGAACTGAAATACATACAGCTAGCACATCATGCCAAAGTTATAACACATAACATAAATAATAGTCTAGTCCTAGCTGAAAGAAGTGCTGAAAAATAAAATTAATTGTTACCTTAACCCCTGAAGAGAATTTTAAGGACTACAGAGAACCTGATTCCAAATACATTTTTAGTTTTCATTAATTACAACATCTCAGCTTTTCCTGGTACTTTAAAAATGGATATACATGTAAGCTTATCCAAACACAGAGCAAGGGGGCTTGATATAGGAAATTTAAGTTTGCCATAACCACTGAAGAGAATTTTAAGGACTACAGAGAACTTGATTCCAAATACATTTTTAGTTTTCACTAATTACAACATCTCAGCTTTTCCTGGTAGTTTAAAATGGTAGCCAGCCAAGGTCAACGCACCAAACCAACCTTATTTTCTTCAAGCTGGTATCTCAACAGTATCACTTTACCAATCCTATATCCCACAGCAGAAGGTAAAGAGCTCCTTTCTGCAAATGGTCTCACATACAAAGAATCTGTAACTAGTGACAGAATCACAGAATCACAGAATTGTAGTGGTTGGAAGGGACCTCAGAGATCATCGAGTCCAACCACAAAAAAAAAAAAAAAAACAAAATCTAAATAACTCCTAAACTTCCAGAGGCTGACCACAATGGTCAGTGGAAATAGCTGTAAGAACTGAAATACATACAGCTAGCACATCATGCCAAAGTTATAACACATAACATGAATAATAGTCTAGTCCTAGCTGAAAGAAGTGCTGAAAAATAAAATTAATTGTTACTTTAAGTTTGCCATAACCACTGAAGAGAATTTTAAGGACTACAGAGAACTTGATTCCAAATACATTTTTAGTTTTCACTAATTACAACATCTCAGCTTTTCCTGGTAGTTTAAAAATGGATATACATGTAAGCTTATCCAAACACAGAGCAAGGGGGCTTGATATAGGAAACTGCTGTGGACACCTATAAGCTAACAAATCTCTACTTGATCTTCTCTTTAACCCAAAATTCAAGGGGTTACTGCCATCATCAGTGCTATTTCAGAAAGCTGTTGACTCAGCTGGAGAGCTGGCAGGATATACATATATATAAAATATATAATAAACCAGGAGGTTGTTATAATATAAAACTTACCATCACAACAAATAACAAACTTGTCAAAATGGTACAATCAGGTACTGTTCAGGTAAGAAAATGAATTTTAAATCAAGTAGTCCTGAAAATATGCAAGACTTTAATAGGTGACTAGTTAATACCAGGAGTGCTTCAGGAAAGAAGAAAACTCTGTACATCATCAACACAAAAGTCACAGGAGATGAAAGCATTAGACACTGCTCTGTTTCATCAGTTATTTCCAAGACTCATCTCCTCTTACATTTCCACTGAGTCAAATGCCTCTTCTGCTTCGCAAAGCTATGTAGCACAGATTCCTTTAATCCATCTTTTCCACATTCCAAGTCAGTTTCCAGACCATCCACAACGAGGTGGTCCTTTAAAATCCTTGTAAACTTATGGGAAATATTCACTTTTT